CTTGTCCCCGCACATCTGACTCAGTCCAGTTCAGAGGCTGCGACTTTGTTGACGAGTGCGCGGCTGCAGCTGTGTCCTCTGATGCGGAGATAAGCGTTGATAGCTCCACGTAATTTGGGCGCTGCTTGCATGTGGGGTTTGCCTCTTCCAGGGCGTCCCTGCCTTTGGTGGGCGAGAGGCCTGTGGTTGTCGAATAAAAGCTGCTGTCCGGAGACGCAGCTGGTTTCGTCGGCCCGGTTTCGGGAGCACAGGGGAATATGACCACAATCGGCCTGGTCATGAGTTTGGGGTCGTCTGGTTTGGTGCCCGGTGGAAGCCTGTTTCGTGCTTCCACCCGTGACCTTCTACGACCAAGCTTTCGCGCGTCTAGAGGACAATCCCCAGCTAAGCGCCTGATCATTGAGTTGGCCTTTTGAATGCTGCCACCCCCCTCCAAGATCTCCTGTACGTCAGATGGGGAGGAAGGAGTGACCAAATGTCTATGAGTTCGCTTACTTCCCTTCTGGCGTAGCCATTCTGCATGGAGCGATTTATCTGGCTTGGTGAAGACGCTGCTAATGATCGATTGTGCCAGTTTCTCTGGCGTGATTTTTCCGGAGAATGACGCCCACATTATCAATCTTTTTCCTCTTAGGCGCCTGTCCACCAGAGGCGTTTTGGCGGTCTTTATAGCCGCGTCAGAAAGTTGTATGACTTTCTTCGCAGCCAGAGGACCCGGTATGGATATCGCGGGGTACTCGTTCAGCGAAGAAAGCTCCTTGTTAACTTCCGTCCAAGTCGCTGCATTCTCAGGGTCTGAATCCCCCAGTGCTTTAGAAAGACGCACCAATTTCGCGTCGAATATCTAGATCAAAGCGAAACACTCTTACCGGCTTTTCTGAATCTGCAGTGGGGATTGGGTACCGTTTTTCGGGGCTCTCCTCTCGGCAGCGGTATGCACTGCACCCTTAACGTAGAGGCAGCTGGTGCAGACAAACGGGTCAGGAGAGTTAGCTGGTCGGCTTATCTGGTCGTCCTGTAAATATGTGCCTTTAAAGTGCCAACAGACCTAGCAGGTTTGGCGCACCATACCCCGTTTGACGTTCGACGTGAAGCCATTGCGTCCACATCTGTTGTGGTCTATCAGGGGCTGCAGCGGGCACTCGTTGTAAACTGATGTCATGTTTAGGATTAGATGTAAAATAGGAAGTGTGCGCAAAATATCAAATGTTATCTCCCAAATATTTTTTAGAGTAATAAAATTCGACAATTACTCGTGTGTAATCCGTGAATAGATTGAACAACGAAAAACTTTTTTCACAAATTTACACGAGGTAAAACCGAAACCGATTTTGAGCGTACCGCGCCAACGACCATATGGACGACTAGGACAAACGACTAAGATACACGCCGTTCCACACAACTAATAGTAATGGGTTTATTTCCTATTTTTGGGGAGCACACCCAATGAGGCATGATCGGCCATTACAACATGAACGTGACGGAAAGCATCACAACGAAGAAGGAAGAACAATGAGCCTGGCTCACCGCAAGATAACCAATCGTAGATTCTGTAAAACAGAAAAATGGGTAAAAAAAATAGTTCTACAATGAAGCCGATCGACTGGAGGTAAAACTGAGACACCGCTGCTGGCCATGGGTGACCTTAGGTGGTTGAGAAGATTTCCAGGGTCACGGAAATCACAAGTGGTAATGAGATGGAGATATTCAAAGTGGAGATAAAATGCAAGATTTGTCACAAAATATGATCCACGCTAAAACCACGTCTTCCGGCGCAGTACAGGGAAGGGAGAAAATGAGAAACACCAAACACATGGACGGCAGGCTGGTCAGGTAAATCGATGAGAAAAACAGAACGCCTAGAAATAACTTATCACGATGGGAGTTTGTTCGCATATCGCCGGTCATTTTACTAGTGAGATTACTTGTGTGCACACATCCGTATTTGTCCACATAAGCTTTTTATGACAGATCGTTCGATGGAAAGAAACCCAATGTGACAAACAGTGTCCAAAAAGAGAACCAATACAGTTTTCAAACGTGTCAGATCAGATTAGGTTGTTGAACTGTGAGCCACTGTTCACCGAGTCGAAAGATACAAAAGTCCGAGCCCTATTGCTGAACATGGTAACCTCTCAACCATCTATCCAGGGTACGACCTTAGATTCTTTAGTATCCCTTCTTGAGTCACTCCCCTTACCACATGCTGTTCTCTGAAATGGCCTTGACGTCGAAAACTTTCACACCGTCAGCAGAGTGAATGAGCTGCTGTCTCGACGACTGTGTCCGCTGAAGTCGAGCAAAGTAAGAGACCGAGTATCGTGGTTCACAGGGTCACATTCATTGATTCAGACGCTTACTATAAATCATCTCCACACAAAACATGAAGAGGTCGCTCCCACAGAAACTCCACAAACGATCAGATTGTTGATAATTATGTTTCTTATCTTACAACCACCGACGGCTTATTGGCCGGGTAATGTGTTTTCCTGAATTCAACTTGGCGCTTTTAGCCATCGACTTATTGGGATTTGGTAGGTTCTTGAGGACGAACATCCCAGAATAGACCTGCTTTCGACCAACCGGCTTTCCAGCAAATACCAACGGCATCGATAAAGAAAGATCCTCAAATCGATTTTGCACAGAATGCCTGGAAAGCATGCTAGAGTTTAGTTTACATGGATGGGATTGCTGTCCTCCCCCAGTTTCTTGGAGGCAACTCAGTAGAAAATTAGTCTGTGTAGAGTATACTGCTGAAGATCTAATTAGACCTATCAATTTTGAGCGAGAACCTGCCTGGCCACGTTAGAGTAGAATCATGAGCCACTTATTGCCAAAGATTTGTCTCACTCCACTGTTATTAATTTTGTTTGGCGTGATGATGAAGACACTCATCTTCCGTGGCGAAGTGAAGCTAGCCGTCTTGCGACTCAAAGACAAATTGTGATTCCACTGTTCCTTTCCGTTCGGCGACGTTCATAGATCCCATCCCACGGGGCTGTGTCTTGCCGGACAGAATACTCCATATCCATGGTTTAATTTTGAACGCCCGGAGTCATGTGGACACCTATAAGGCAAGGCACCCAGAGCTACGTAGACTAAGAAGGACGCGATAGAGCTATGGTATTCACACAAATAGCGACAAGATTAGGGATTGTACTCAGTACTCATGCAAAAAATTTCGGGAAAATAAAAAGCTAAGAAATGGATCTTCGTAAATACAAACCTTGAGGAAAACAATCAGCAGCTTCGTTTTCCCACAAATCCCGAAAAGTGTGTATATAATTCTCTACTGTATCCCTCGACAGGTGGGACGCTTCGTCGACGAAGAAGGTGCAGCTCATCCGGATCATGATCAGGAGCGTGCCGAGAGCCCTCTTGGCTTCGCCATGATGTCCACGTCCATAATAATGACAAGCGGAATGTGACACGGTGCGAGTTTGGTTGCATTATTTCCGCCATACAGTAAATGAAATAGCACCGAAGTGACCCTCTGTGCTTGGCCAATCTGGGTTATATCTTTTACCTCTCCAATCTAACAGAAAAGTCTTTTTGTTTCATTGTATTTCAATTGAGTATTCTGGTTTGCTTGATATACTGGCGCTTTGGACATAACGGCGTATTAACTTGATTTAGTTCCCTGCACCGTCCTACTGTACACGTCATAGAAATTCACCCTTCCAGAAAATCCCACCCGCGCCTCAAGTTCACGCGTGCCATAATTTTACCCGTTCCAGATCGCACATTTGACCTTGGTCTCCATGTACATATGTCACGTGCAGAGGATCATGTCATCTGATTGAACATTTTGTCTCCTTGGGTTTTCGGCGTAAAACCTGTTTCAGTTGCATTTGTTGATTCTGAACAATGCGTTGTTATGTTACCTTTTTGCGTTGTTATGTTAACTTTTGTCATTGTAGCCTCTAAGTCCTAAGATCTATTTCGGCTCTGTGGTCCCGGGTTTATGGATCACCGGTAACCCTTTTTGCGTTAACAATCTAGTTCGGACATAAATACATTTCATGGGGGAAATGCCCCTCTTTCCGCTTGTTCTTACTGTTTTTGTGGTTGAGGTCTCTCTTGCCGACTGTTCTCGAAGTTTTCTGAAAGTTTTTGTCTTATTAAGGTTTCTCATGATACAGTTCTCTGGATTTTCGTTGTTCCGGAAAATTATTCATTCCTTAGTTTCATGAACTTGCAATTCCGCCGCCCCCCGGGACAGAGACGGAATGCAAACTGTCTCGTGGTTCACTGGACGACACTTGCGCTTTTCAGTAACTGTATGTGTCCGGTTTTACTATATGTGGGTTTTGAGAGTTCCTTTCACTCTCCTCTGACTGAAGCATCCAGAAATAGTAAATACATTCACTTCCCGTTGGACTGTCAAATTCATCGCTCGCAAAGTGGGATTGAGAAGGTCATGCACGTTGTAAATTAGGTTCTCTTTCATGACCAATGAAGTGGATAATTATTCGGTAATGTTACACGCCCTGATTTCGGTAATGTGCCTCAATGACAAACTCTGGCCCTGAAGAAAGAACAAAGTCCTTTTCAGCTGCCGGTATACTTTTCCGTCATCACCAAAGTACGCAGCCTTGCAAATGTTCATCAGCTTGCACGGAGCTTCAGGTTTGATGCTCCGTCATGTTTGGACTATTCTGAAGCAATGCCAGCATCATTTCTTTGGCCAAGTTCGAGCTAAGTGAGATGAGTGTCGACGTGACATCAATCGATGGTTTGAGAGACTCTAAACCCTCCACTACCATCAGGCGAGGCTAACATCAAAAGTCTTCTTCTTCATGCACCACTGATAGATTTAAGCTGATATTAGTTATTCAGGTACTGGCGGCCATCCGTTTATAATCACCTTCCCTCCTAGATTATCCTAGTATCTCATAACTCACTAATAATCTCCATGACATCTAGTCCACCATCTCAAAATTTACACCCCCACAAGTCCTTACGTATTTGGTTTCGCTTACCTAACCGTCCCTCTACCTACGTGCATCGAACTGTCCTGTGTCCCAGGTAGTATGATTGTATATATTGGAAATCTCCGTTTGACTTTGATTACCAGACTACTTAGTGCAGATGCATCTTATCCCGTCTTGCTTAACCACTTGTTGTAACCACCCTACCTGTGGCAAACATTCATTTTTTTCTAATAAAGGACTGTATCTTGTTTGATGACTCTAATAAATCCATGGGCCTTACTGATCTCATCCCATTTTACCTCCCTCTCAAGCCTCGACCCGCGGTAATACTACTGATGTGCTGTTTGGCCGTTATCCACTCCACCCGATCTGTGCAATTCACCTGGAGGGATCCTCGGCCGGACAAAAGACAAATACTAACTACGATATCGCATTGGTTTTGCACTTCTTACCGATTTCCCTGACAAACCCACAAAGCACTACTGCTCACAGAACTGCATATCCGAGCCCATCTACCTCATTCACGACTTCCGTCAAAGCGCTATCCAGAAACTGAATTATCTCAGTGCAGTGATGGGACTGCACGGCCCCACCCAGTTTGATAGCACACCCACAACTCTTCACCTCCTGCTTTGATTACGCCTTCTTGCCTTCCCGCTACCCTACCTGCTTCCAAAAGAAAAGATTTCATCAGGCCCCAGCCGCATCATAATGGCGTTCATTCCAATCTAATGAACCTTCCATCGGATCTAAACATCTCGGTGTCTTTGACATTGTACTTCTTACCAAGTCAGTCATTTTTCGTGCGGTTCGCGTACCATCTTGTGCGCTTGCGTGAACTCCTTTTCCCAGGAAACTTTTACAGCTGACTTCGCTCCAGCAGCAACGCTAGTGAATCTCTCCAGTTTCAACGCACACATAGATGCTGAGTTTCCTACTAACATTTGTCCTCACTGCATACCCTCACTTCACCATTCCCATCTACGCCTTTTCGTGACCTTGGACATGCGCCCAAAAGCTCGAGGCCACGAAGCCGCAGTGACAGTTTCGGGCTTTTGTTCATTTTGGTTAGTCAGATTGCGACAGTCCTGTTGCCTCACCAGGTATTCTCGTCCCATGTTTCCTAAAGTTTGAAGCTTTTTATCTCTCTTAAGCGGTAAACCTCTTGCTACGCCCTAGTATTGTTTTTACCATTCACTCTCAAATCTTGACGATCGTATGCTGTCTCATTTGATATGTTCCCCTTAGAAAAAGAGCCCTTGTAATTTTGTTTTCTTACGCATGCCACCTCATTCCTGACCAGGCATACTTCGGATAATGCCCGCTGTTTGTGTCACCGTCCCTTTTTCACGAAACTCTCAGTACCCACAAACCCTATCAGTCATGCCCTTCTTCGGACTGCTAACTCCTTCCTGCGCTTACGATTCTCTTTCAATCAGAATTTTATTACCTAGGCCAATTGCTTACGGCTGAGATTAACGCTGACAAACTAGAACTTGGGAAGCGTGGAGAGTCTACCTCCTTAGTATATTTTCTTTAACCTGAGGTTCTGAAGCGCCCTTCCCACACACGTTGCTTTTCTAATCCCCAAGCTCTCCATGTGGTGGCCACGGACTGAAGACTCCTTCTGGCCATACTGATATCGTATACTCCCCAAACTCTTACTTCGCTAGCTGCTATGTTCTTTCCACATCGACTTTTCTTCATTTCTCTCCACCTGGCTCCGTGATGACCACATCTGTCGATGAGGCGAACCTCAACCTCTGCATAATCTTAGTTACTTTATCTGACTTAACTTTCTCTCTCGCGCGCCCTAGGGACCCAAATTTCCCAGCCACTGACGGTACCCCTTTGCAGATCCTAAGAGGTTGTAGGCTGGACATCCACAGCCTCATTCTTAACCTCTGCAACAGCCATCTTATCATTGGACCGGTTCAAAGTCAATGGAGACACTCCATCGCTGTTCCACACCATAAGTTAAGTCCTAAAACGGCTCCAACTAGCTATCGTTGCACACAGTACGCTTGATTGCTCTCCCATACCATAGAGCGCCTTAGCAATGTCCTTGTCATGGGTTACCTGCTCACCACCAAGAAGCTTAACATCAGACCTTATGGTCAGCTAACACGTGCTGGTTCTTATCCTTCGTCATATTTTGTCCACTCAGGATGCGAGGGCCTGTATTAATCTTAAGTACTTTGATAGGGTCATGATCGTGTCCCATCAGTGACGTGCACATTGTTTCTTCTTGGCCCTCCAAGAGGTGTCAAGTGGGCGCTACTATTAGTTCGTCATCCATAGCTCAATATGTAGTAGAACACAAGCCCAACAAGTAGTTCAGCTCTATAAAACGGACAGTGAGCAGTCCAATAGGCAGTTTGTTGTATTAACTGCTCCAATATTAAGCATTCGTTATGTTAGAATAGTCACTACATTGGTCACTCCAGCTTATATTCAAATAGATCAGGCTTTATTGGTAGATAGATTGTATTGGTGGTTTAAATTTTTCGAGCGATGCAGTTCACCAGTTGCCTAATTGTGGGTGGCAAAAAGAGGCTAACGCTTCAAATGCCACCGTGACAGAAATTTGCACTGGACAGACATTTGTGACAGAGAACAAACGCTTGTCCAGGTTAATGGGCAAACATCTAGGTGTTGAAAGAGTGCAGGATGGGCGTGTGGAAAAATCTCTATACACGGGGAAGTAACAACATTTACATGTTCGTG